GTGGTTCCCCCCTGCTCCCTGGCTGGGCCCTAGGGCTGTGGACTTCCACACCACTCTTGGGCCCTGCACGCTGCCCCAGCTAGGAAGTCCCACCTGCCTCACTCTCTCCCTCACTATGCGGGCTCAGCGTGAGTCGCCACCACTGCCTCAATCTGCACCCCCCACCCTCCCCTATGTGTCACCTGTGCCCCCCACACACTGACTTGCCTGCAGGAAGTTGGGGGAGATGCTTTCTACCACACTGTCTAGGGCTGTATTGCTGGCTCTGTGCACGTGTGCACATGCACGTGGTGCCCTCTGCATCTGTTCAGCTTTTTCCTGCTCCCCCCAGCCCCAAGCAGCCCCTTACAGGCTGGAACTCTGCCAGCCTGCAAGGAGAAACCTGCTGTTTCCCACTTCTTTTCTTCTTTAAAAGGGGAAAATGTTTTTCTCCATTAAAGGAGACAATCAGTTCATTTCCTGCAGCAAACAGAAAATTAAGATCCTTGCTGATTATAACCCTCTTCTTCCCCCATCTTGCAGCTGCAGAACAAGAGGTGGAGGTAATCAATCCTGCCACTCAACTTATGTTGCAACTTTTTATTCCTTTTGCTACCATGTAACCCTGTTCTGATGGCTCTAATGTTGCATCTGTGAATTGAAACTACAGTAAAATACTGCAGATATCCCTGTCAGCACCAGGACAATGATCTGTTGATATTATGTTGCTTTTAAGCAGCCATTAATGGAAGACAGGCAAGGCAGCTGACCAAACTGGAGGGAAAACATTGCCACTGATGCTGTTACCGGGTGCTTCAGCAGTCCTTGGTTTTAGAATTGGGGATTTTAATACAAGGTGGGGTTTGATAGCTAAGTTTTCTGTTCCAGCATTGAGACACCTGCTTTCCTGATGCCTCATTGCTGACTTCTGTCCAACCTCAGAGGAAATGTATAGAAACAATAAGCTAGTTGCCTCCTAGATCGTCCACAGGTGACAGGAACCATTATAATCACCTAGGTCTCACTTAGTCCATGGTCTGGGTGGGTTTTTTTTCTTGTTTTTTTTTTTTTTTACCAGTGCAGCATCTTCAAGTTAAGAGTCTGAAACAGGAAAACTGTATCAAGTGGCCTACAAATGGTTACGGAACAGCCCAAGGATAGTTCTGCCACCTCCAGCTAGGAGGGTGGGCAGTTCACGTTTGCATTTATTACAGCTGGTGAATGATCACCTTTGCTGTTGACCATTTTAGCATACAGCACCTTGAGATTATGCAGGTGAAATGAAATACACAATCCTCCTTCCTGCCTGGGCCATTAGCCATACATAATAGGGCTTGTCTAGTTTGTTAAAACTTTTAAAGGACCATTTGAATATTTTGCTGATGGATAGAATTTGAGTGCCTCCTCCTGCATATACATTTTAGAGCAATCAGATCCCCTTTCAGTGGTCTCCAAAGATGTGATCCTAGAATATCAGCAAGAATCATGTAAAGAGGTTGCAGTCAGACTAGCATATTAGGGACTTGAGAGCATTCAAGACAAATTGATTGTTTCAATGACCTAAGTCCTTTTGTATTTTTTTTCCTAGCTGCCACTAGTATTTATTCTATAGTAGTGTTTGGTCCCCTTAATATTTATTAAATTGGAATAGCAATGCAGTGGAATAGATGGCCTAGGGTGGTTGTGGGATCTTCATCATTAGAGGTGTTCAAGAAGAGGCTGGCTAACCAATGGTCAGGGATGATCTGGGAGTAAGTATGCCTATGCTCTGCTTTGGCTATTTCTCACACTTCTGGGCTTTGCTGGTTGCTACATGGGACCTGGAAGGATCCTGCCATCCTTCAGTTACTACAGGGAGGAACCTCAGCTAAGGGTCAGGCCAACTGCCATATTTGGGACCAGGATGGAATTTTACCCCATGGTCAGCTTGGTATGATTTATAGATCGAGACTGACTTAATTCACAGTTTTAAAGACTTTCCAGAAACCATGAGATTGGACATTATCTGTCAAATCTAAATAAAAACAAACAATAAAATGCTGGCTCCTCAGTGGGAGCCAGGAGTTGGTCCTTGTGGATGCTGTGGCCTGACCTTGCAGCCTGCTGGGGGGGCCTGAGAATGGGAGTGGCCAGCACAAAGGGGAGCAGACAAGATGGCAGATGCACCTCACCTTGCTGACTGGCTGAGAAGGCTGCTCATCATGTGGCACCATCCCCCACTCCACATCAGCCACAAGAGGTGGAGGAAGGAGAGGGTGGCTGTATGACAGACCGTTCCCTTTTTCTCACAGCAAGTTGGGTAGATCCCTCTCAACAAGGGTTTTTGCCTTCCTCTGTAGCAGAGGCTATGGGGTCTCCTCCTGGGACTTTTTGAGCATATTTTAAAATTACCCACACAGCAGCAGGTCAGTGGCCACTAAGGTTCCTTGCCGCACTAGTGACAGGTTAGGGGATTATGCCTTGTGCTTGACTGTAGTTTTACAAATAGATTAGATAAGGATTGGATTACGTGACTTCTGAAGGTCCCTTCCAGCCTTACTTTTCTATAATTGTATGACTGTTTTACTAACCTAAGAAAGTTTCGAGTAACATAGTCAGAGCGGTTGTTATCATTTAGGCTGCTGACAGATTCAGTTGAAGCCACGATGGGATCTGATCCACAGTCCAAACAACTGTGCTTCCTGCCACGTGTGTGTGTGACAGAAGGTACAATTGTGGGATCATGGATCAGATCCCAATTGCACCCTACTGCCAGTGCAGGGGATGCCCAGATTATGATCCTGGGCTCCTCCTAAACCAGGCTTGTCCACCATACCACTAGCTTATCCTTGAGATCTCTTCCACATCTCTGCAGTATATGCCTACAATTTCTATTTAATTAACCACAATGACCATGATCAAGTTAGTAAAGGATCTCAAGGATAAGCTAGTCAAGGACTGTTCAGATCTGGTGAGGCTGTGGGCCCCAGATGCCACCAGCCTGTTACACAGGCTGCACGCTGTGGGGGTGAGCCCCTAGGACTCCCTCTCTGCACAGGCTGCTCCAGCAGCATGCAGATCCCCATCCTCAGCCATGCAGGCTACATTAGCGGGACATGGACCACTCCTTCCCTCCCCCTATGCCTTTCCCCCTTGCACAGCAGTGGGAGAGGTGGCTGCCCAGGCCCATGCCCTATATATTAACTGTGGGTGACATCCTGGTCCTTTGTGGGCCACGTGTGGCCTGCAGGTAGTCAGCTGGGCAGCCCTAATCTAGTCCAACCCCCTGCACAGAAAAATGATGTCCTGTTCCTAAGCCACAGCAAACATACACACTTTCTGAAAACCACAACTTTCCTAGGCACATTTCCAGACCCATTTCATTGTCATTTCCTGCAACTTCATTGGTGTCAAAGGTCATGTGACATCTCTTCCTGATATGATACCACTTCCTGTGCTGTCTTTGAATATGGCTCACTGACCCACTGGGTGATAAAAAGTTCATGATCCAGCCCCACATTCAAAAAGGCTGGATGCCCCTGTCCTAAACCAACACCTAGAAAGGTGCCTGTGACTGGAAATGTCAGTCTACTGTGCCATGCTCCCAAAGGGCTCCTGCTGTCAGGCACACAATTTAGACTGGTACTCCCTGGGCTGGGAGTGCACCACCTACACATCCAACTTATGACATGGTGGGAACCAGCCACAAAATTACAGTGTAGTAATATTGTAGTAGATTCCTCATTCTACAATTATTGTGTGAATGTGTGGCCAAGCTAAACACTTAAGATGGGATTCAATCACAGCTTAAGTGTAAGATCTGCCAAGGGCCCTAGAAGCCTAGTTTTTGAAGTAAGAGGAACATTTTTTCAGTAGAGATGCATTTCTGCCCAACCTTTTGCCATCACTTCATTTGCGACTACTTTTCTTACATCTATGCTATTTCACAAGCAACATATAGCTTGTACAAGCTTCCAGTAAGGGAGTTAACTTGCTACCTAGGAAATTTCAGGGAAAGAATGCGTGACATTTATAGCCTGAGAATACAACTTACTTCAGTCAAATCTTTCCAGCACCACTTAGTATTTTAAAGCTTGAACATCGTAAGAATAGGTCTGCTGTGGGACACACTTCATCTTAAAACACAGCACTATACTGATAGAATGCTGATGTGAATTCAGAATCATTGTTTAAGTAGCAAAAAGGTGATTACACAAACAGTTCAATTAGCCAGCTATTAAAGATTACTATACTCCAAGAATAAAGTTCACAGAGTCCTTCACAATAGTGCCTGGATTTAAAAAAAAAAAATGCAATTCCTTCCATGACCTTTAATAAGTAGTTAGTATGTTGCTCTTTATTAAGGGGTCAAGTAAAACATCACCACAAAGGGAATTGAAAATAACTGAAATGGAGACACCAGTGTTTTATTTATGGTTCCTCCAGATTACACTTCTATTTCTAAAAATAAGATTATGAATGCATCAAATCTAAATCCATTATTGTTCAAATGCTTGGAATGCAGTGTGGTCAGATCTGGATGATTTTGTTACTCTGACATATATTTGTAGTTATCAACTTAATACAAAAAAGGAACTAGTCCAGTAAAGAAAAATTATATCTAGACAGATTGTATATTGAAACAGCAGGTTGTGAATCAGCACTTGTCAACTTCCTGATAAAAACCCCTGATTATAGGTTTTCCCTTTAAATAAATTTAAAAATTCTGTAGGTGGCTCTGTTGTTTGTTGGTAAGGAACTGCTCTTCGGTTTCTTGCTGCGCAGTCTACCCAAGATCAGATGCATCCTGGAATCAGTGTTGGACTTCAAGGTGATATTTTTTATGGAGCAGTTTGTAACATTACATTACTGTCAGCTGCAGAAGGCCTGTCATCCAGCCAGATGCATAAGATCTAGAAGTGGCAATGGTAGCCACATGCAACAGAGAAAGGAGGAAAGAGGCCTTGTGTTTGTAGATGCAGATTCTCAAATCCATCTGAGCCAGGGACAGCCATAAAAAACTACTCACTGCCCAAGGGAGGAGCAAGCACCACAAAAAAATATGCTCTGCAAAACCAGACAATCAGCATATCTCCATCGCAGAAAAATGTCCAGCAGAGTGCCAAACTTGCAAATCATTGCTAATAAAAGTACAGTGTCATCTTCAGTGCTTGTATAACTATATTACTGTACATTATATACAGAAATTACAAGAACCTGCTTTTGCTCGTGATCCTTGCTCTTTAAAGGTAATGCTCATTAAAAACCAGAGTCTGGGCTTATAAATAGTGCAGAGAATGCAAATGCCAGGAAAACAATGCCTCCTATGATTGTCACTGAAAGAGAGGGAAAGAGAAAGTATTAAATGCTGTAAAGAAAAAGTTTCCTATTAAATCCCCTTCTACAATGCCTCAGAGGGCTCCATTTCTCTGATCCAAATCCTAGATTAGTGGTTCTCAAATTTTTTGGACTCTAGGCACTTCTCCATGACTTGTGTGGTACCCCATTTCAAAAACTAGTTTATATATTATAGTCCTTACCTCCTGCACAGGGGCCAAGCACTGGGGGTAGAGGCTTGTCCAGGCAGGGACAAGCCTGAGCCTACACTTACCTCTTCACACCATGAGGATCTGGCAGCACCCTGGTTGAGAATCACTGTTCTACCAAACAGTAACAGTGTACAATTTACTTTAGCTACCAACACTAGAAGCTATTTTCAGCTTGTGCAGCCCCCACGCTAGTGTCAGCCCTTTGGTATTTTTGTGTGATTGCACTGATGTAACTAGGTGTTTTGGCCCTGCAAATTAATTACAAACTGTGGTTTTAACTCTCTCTCTCTCTGGATCTCACAAGCCTCAAGGACTTAAGTTTACTCACAGAAGAGCTGTACCCCCAGAACTGGGTTTTTTTGCTGTAGATGGGTAGGTGAAGGGAGAAAGAGGTCAACACTAAGGTGAAGATGTGCTCAGAGAGAGCAAGTGTTCATCCTACAGATACTGTGTTGAAATCTGTTTTTTTTTTTAGCACAGCAGCTCTTCTTGTTCTGAGCAGAGAACTTCAAGAGAAATCACCATTTGCCGATGAGCTGCTAATCTATTTTTATGGCTAATGGAAATAGGATCCTGCAATTTCACCAATAGCTTTTTTTGCATATGTTCTACTGCTGCAGAAACTGGTTCTCTTTTTTCTGAACACACTGGAGAAGGAGAGCAAGCCTGTACTAGGTCAGTGGGATACTGAATAAAACTGAAGGCAGGGCAAGATGGCATGTTAAAGTAACCAGTTTAGAGATGTAAGAATTTTCATACATAACAACATACTCTGCCAGATGCTATGAATAGGTCCATAGTCAACCTAGCAAAGTAGGTTGTAGCCTACTCATGCCTCTGAATCAGTCTCTAAGGTTTTAACCTGCTCTACCTTTTGCCAGACTTCAGGCTAACAACTGATAAGTTATGGCCTGATCCAAGGTGAACATACCCCACCTGCTACCTAGTAGCAGATGTAGACAGATATAACTGCTCTTCGTGGAATATCCACTAACTCCTTTAGATAAAAGTCCTACTCTACATTATGGCCATATCCCACCTGCTCTTTGCTAAACAGTATACAAGCATACAAGAAATGCTATATACATATAGTTCCTCCATTCAGCAGGAGGAAATATTAAGCTACATGCCTCATTTGATTTTAAGACTCAGCACCCCAAATTGTAACAAGCCTTTTTTTTTTTAAACCAAGTTACTCAAACCAATTGTGACTGACTACAGAGTTTTGTGCTTGCTTCTGCTAGGGGCCTAGCAGAAGCAAGAGCAAAATAGTAAGGAACAGGCACAGCATAGTGGGTTCTACCAAGATAGCTCTCCTCTCCAGTAAGTATAAGCAGTCATGAAACAGGCAGAGGAAGAACTAACAGTATTTACAAAAGTCTTGTTGCATCTACAAAACATTTCCAGCTTCTTCCCAAAGTTTTAATGTTAAAAACCACTGCCTATAGCTCCACCTCAGGACTATTAAACCTCTTCATTCTGACCTTCCTGCAGATAGGCAGAGCTTTATTTAGCAAGTATATTTTTGCAGGCAAAAAAAAAAACTACTTACCAGTCCTAACAGAGATTTTTTGTGCGATCATTCGTCCTCCAATAACTGCTAAACCAGTGCAAAGGCAATGTCCCACTGTTCCACCCACTGCCACGCCATAGGGATCCTGAGCAAACACAAAGTGGTCATTAGCAGCACTGAGAAAGATCTACAAAAATGCAAACAGCAATTTACCAGGAAAGAATTATATTTTCCTAGTTTTGCCAGTAAGGCAAACGTAACCCCAGAGAACACAGTCGAATATACAGAAAGGCTTAGCATGGTTGAACACCAATTGCTTCCTGGAAGACGGAGGAGAAAGCCACAAAGAAAGTTGGGTCCAAATACACACAAGTAATTTGGTGCATAACATCCTGCTGCAAATCAGTAGAAAGTTAGGCACCAACTCCTACTTAGGCCACTAATTATCTTTATGAATGGGAGCCTTAATCTTACCAAAAAACCCCCCAAAAAAACAAAAACAAAAAAACCCCCAAACCATCCAGAGCTGGATAATGTTTCAACCAAGACAACATCCTCAAGTAGTTTAGGACTTTGGAATTACTTGTGTCCCCCCCTGGCCCCCAATATATATGCAGCCATCCCTGGGATAAGATGGTGATTGCTTAGCCTCTACGCTTATGCTGACTGCACTTCTGAATCACAATAGCAGTCTCAACAAACCAAGTGAGCCGTCTTCCATAATCAACACGTCAGTTACCACACGGCACTGAGTCCAGCTTCATGAGGTTAAGGCACCCCATTCTAAAAAGATTAGCCAAAGAGGATGAACTGGAAATGCACATATCAGATATCAATCAGTGGGGGGGGGAGTGGGGGGGCAGAAGGGGGTTTTTGCACCAGTAAGAGACAGGGACAAAGAAAACAAAAACAAAACAAAAAGGTAGAAAACAAACTGATTGGACAAGGAGCTGGATGTTGGGACACAACAGTTGTTGAACACGTGGGAAATAAATGAACCAGAGGTTCCGGAATGGAAGCCTGGACTTCTGACTTGCATCATTCCTCTGCTGTCAGCTAATATCTGCAATACCCAGAAAAAAAGGATCTCACCCCCCTGTTTAATGCTGGCCTGCAGAGGATGACCATTCACTACTGCTGCTACCCATTTCCCCATTACAAGTGGGTGGCAGCAAGCTTCGTAGTGGATCTAATGGGGACAGCCCCACTGATGATCCATGTCTTACTATGATGCCACACTATGGATTTCCCTCTCTAGTTTGCTTTAAACACATCTAAGAAGTTAACCACAGGAAGTTTTATCAAGAATATTAACATCACAGAAATCACTCTCTATCATTAGCAAATACCAGAATTAATTTTGTGCACGTGCCTCGAGTATGATCACATCCAATTGTTTCCACAAGATGCCCATCACGCTCTGCGCACAGGGCAAAGGATACTCTCTGAATCAGCAGCAATTCAATATTTTGTTTCATCCTCATTGAAGGATGTGGGGTAGATAAGGCCTGGAGTTATGTATTAGTCAATCCCTGCTATGAAGGCAAAAATCACCATTTTATGAATTATTCTGCAGTACTCATTGTTATGTCAAGTGCATCACAACTGAATTATGCCATCTGCTTCAATGATGGTAAAACATGGCATCCTCTGAGGTTATATTAACCAACTACACTTCTGTGTTACTGCAGTGGCACAGTATTGGCAGTGCCCTCATCCCCCTGCTTTTACCTAGAACATGCTGTAAGGTAGTTCT